CCCCCCCCCCCCGCTCTCTCTTAAGGCCTTCAACTGATTGGACGAGGCCCACCCATATTATGGAGGTTAATCTGCTTTAATAAAAGTCTACTGATTTATTGTCAATCATCTCTAAAAAGCACCTGTGCAACATCCAGACTGGCATTTGACCAAAAACTGGATATGGTGGCCTAGACAAGCTGAAACATCACAGTGCCTGTTAGCAGTAAATTTAGCTGAGGGTTAAGAAATATATTACATAACAACTTATTTAAAATACAGAATCTTCACTACATGCCTAAAGCAGGATTTAATAAATGCGGTCTGTGTGTGTATATATCTTTTACATACAGACAAAATCTTTCCTAAAGTGAATACATGTGTAAGAATCAAGAGAAGACAAAGCTACTGGGAATGAATAGGTATTTAAACTGAGTGACATTGGTACTTAACATAAGAATGAGCCAGGTGCAGGGGCACACACTTGTAGCCCCAGCTATTCAAGAGGCTGAGGCAGCAGGACTGCTTGAGCCCCCTAGGCAACAGGAGTTTCTGGCCACCCTAGGCAACAAAGCAAGACTCCGTCTCTAAAAAAATAAAATAAAATAAAGAATTCATGTAGTAGAAATACAACTTCTTTCCTGATTGTTTTTAATCAAACAGAATGAGAAGAATTAGGCCACTCTAAAGATAGGAGCCATTGGGAGAAGATTAATTAGAGTATTTCTAGATGATGAAGATTGGGAAAATGTTAGCAAAGTCTAACAGTGGGTATTATATCAATTCATGATGCCAACAGAAAATACATTAGTATCAGTTTCCCCCTTTTATGAACAGAATAGAAATGTAAAGTATGTCTGTGTGTGTGTGTGTGTGTGTGTGTGTGTGAGATGTGGTGTGTTGACCTGTATGTTTCAATGTGCTCATGTATGGCCATTTAAATTTAGAATTGGTCTTTAATATCCTCTTTTCTAGGATCTGAGGTGGCTTATTTTGATGGACAAAGTGCTCTGTTGTACAGATTTGATAAAAAATCCATAAAGCCAATAAGGGATGTTATTTCTTTGAAATTTAAAGCCATGCAGAGCAGTGGAATTCTACTCCACAGAGAAGGACAATATGGGAATCACATCACTCTGGAATTAATTAAAGGAAAGCTTGTCTTTTTGCTTAATTCAGGTAAAAAGTGTTTGTACTTTTGTAGCAGCAGTTTCAAAAATTTGTTTAGCTAAGAGTACATTTACCTGGTACTTAATCTTTTCACAATGAGGTAAAATAATCATAAAATTTATCATCCAAACTAGAACACTTTTAAGAGTTAAAAGATACACTACTGTTGAGTTACTCTAGGGCAATGTGTGTGAAGTAGAACTCTCGTGGGAAAACATAAATGAAAGTTTAAGAGCATTACAAACAGATGCATGTAACGCGTACATATTCTGAGTACAATTTATGGAAACAGCATATATTATATTTTGACCCTGTGCAAGACGACCACCATATACGTATATGTAATATTATATATGATATATTATGATCATATATAATCATAAAGACAAGAATAGATCATTGTCAAAGCATGAGATATCACTGATAATGAAGTTCCAACAAAGAAAACATTTGCAATGTAAATAGAAATGCCATGAATAATAATAAGAAAAAATAAATACTAAAGAGCAATCTCAACAAAGTGTAGAAATGAATAAAAAAAGGTGTAAGGATATTGTATTCAAAATGGAGATGAAGTCAGCTGACAACTATGTGAGATGGAAGTTTGGACGAAAATCGTAATACTGAACTAACGAAGGGAAGCCATGATTTTAAACAGAAATAACTAAGTGGTTTCTTTCCTTCTTTTTTAAGGCAATGCTAACCTGTCCCCCACTAATGCTCCCGTGAACCTCACCCTGGGCAGCCTGCTGGACGACCAGCACTGGCACTCCGTCCTCATCGAGCGCCTCAACGCGGAGGCCAATGTCACCGTGGACAAACACGCTCATCATTTCCATACAAAGGGAGGATCCAGTTACTTGGATCTTAATTTTGAGGTTATTATAGATTGAATAATTTAAATGGAATATAACCTGAAAAAGAAACTAATGCTGTAGAGAAATTCAATTTTGTAGCAATTCAGAACTATGCTGAGTAATACATGATAATAGGGATGTTAAGATCCTAGTGAACTGTTTATTCCTTATAATAGGTAATTTATTATTATAGATCATCTTTTCCAGTCATGCTGTTAGGTTTAGGAAATCTACAAATGAAGAGATATGAAGGCAGCAAGCAATATTATTGAATGTGTTTCTTTGGTATATTACATCTATTGTTTGGCTATGAACACATTCCTGGGGGATTTTTTTTCTTACCTTCATGCAATTCTAACCAACACAGCATTATCTAGAATCACTTTGAGGAGCTCACATATATGCCAGTAGATTTATTAAATAACGAGAGAGCCAAGTGCTCATATATAAACAATTTCTTAATGTTTTTTCAGGGCTTAACCCTTTTTTGAAATCCTTTGTCCATCTAAGTACATGTAAATGTGTCTAAGCTCACTGTTAAATAACATCTATTCTGCCAGTTCTTCACAGGACACCTTAAAGTTCATGAAAAATCAGAACAAACCAGGAAACTCTGATATTTATGTGGTATGAATGGCTTTGGCATGTAATATTTACTGAAACCCCAGTCTTATGCCAGAGCATCCACAGTTTTATTCCCTTAATTTAACCATGTAATAGCAAAAGAGAGTACCCAATGCAGAGGGTGGTAAATCATGGGCATCAGGCCAAACCTGGACATTATTTTGTAAATATATATATATATAGTCTATGGCTGCTTTGGCACTATCACAGCAGAGCTGAGTGTTGCAAAAGAGATCATATGACCCACAAAGCCAAAAATGTTTACTATGTGGCCTTTCATAGACAATGTTGAAAATGCTGACCCCTTCCTTTAAGTTTAACACAAATGTCTGGTGCCAGAAATACAGGTATTAAAAATGCCATTAATTATAATACAATAGAACACTTCATTTGAGATTAGCATACCTGGAAATATGAGAAGCTACAAATGAATTTGTGTCAATTAGTGGTATACTTAGTATTATAAATGTTTTAAATAGATAATCAGAAAATCACTAAACAATGTTATTTATGTCATTTTTCTTTCTAAGATCAGCTTTGGGGGAATTCCGACACCTGGAAGATCACGTAAAAGCTTTCATGGGTGTTTAGAAAATCTTTATTATAATGGAGTGGATATCATTGAATTAGTCAAGACACACAAACCACAGATCCGCATTATGGTAAGGAAGCCTAATGGAAGGAAAGAGAAAAGGAATTGTTATTTTTTGCATTTAAAAAACATTTGTGTTAGGTCTCCAGTTGATATAATATTTTAAAAATCAACTCCTACTTTTGAAACAGCTACCCGTGTAATATAACAATTTTTATTATGTATAAAAATGTTATAAAGTAAATATGTCTCATAGGACATAGTTATTTCATTTTTATATGAAGTAAAACAACTTCTTATTTTTGTGTAGAAATCAGAATTCATATGTCTCCTGTGTTTTTGGTATTGTTATTCTCAGGAGACTAATTATTTTGCAATGGAAATCCCTAATGAGCTATTCCTTAATCAATTGGAAATGCTTCCAAATCAGTTAATAAAATTCTCTTTCAATTTTTAAAATTGAAAATATCTAAGTTTTGGGTTAAAGGGGAAGTTCATGCTTAGTTGTCAGCAAATCTTAGAAGCACATAATGGGAATATTTATTTGCATTGTTTTAAAAATGTGTTTTCTTTCCTATTACGTACTGGGAAAAGTTGGCTCAGGGCTTGTAGGACCAAAACTTGAAAATAGCTTTGGCTCTGAGTCACCAGGCCACAAAATGAATACATCATTAGGATTAGCATGAGAAAAGGCGAAAAAAACAGCCATGAAGCCCATGAGCCTTTCATGAAAGTTAAGGAAAAAATCTAAAAAGATAGGATTGAAGTCTAAGCTCTACTATGAATGGCACCATGCTGAGATCATACAAATGAAAAATACCATCAAGATACATGAAAAGAGAAACACCAAAGGGAAGAGTGATACAAAGGCCCCACAGTGCTCGGGTTCCTTTGACAAGATTAAAAAGAAACGAAAAGAAGGAGATAAATGGAATAGCCCTCTGCCTAAAGTTCCTATCCTTGGAGAAACTGAAATATGAAGTGTTGCTTGCACGGGAAGGGGAAAGGAGACCTGGTTGCTGAAGTCGGCTTTGTTGGAGGTGCTCACTCACATCAAAATACAGACATTTGTTTGGCCAATGGGCATCCACGTTAATGTAACACATTCTGAACATGAAGCCACCTTTTATCTGCCAACCCTTGGTGTTCAGAAGAATCCCTCATTCCCACCCTAACTTCTATGGTATTGTTGCCACAGGTGCTGTCACAGAGGTGGATGGGAGTGAGTTGGGCCTTAGGACACAAGAGGCCAAGACTAGTTGAGGAAAACAGGCGCACGTTTTCATACACACTTCGTGCTACTCTGGGATACTGATGGGTTTGCTGACGGAATTATTTATTAACTGATTGTAATCAATCAGGAAAACCACAATTTGGCTGGTATCTCTGGAGTTCTGAATGTCATCCTTAAGAAAACTATTTATAATTATAATACATTGTATAAAGATATTAAAATGTTTAGATTTTACATAAAAACAAACAAAAGGAGAATTCATTCCAAATTGTGCATATGGATACATAATGTTGGATACAAGAACTCCATTCTGAGAGTTATTGCAATTTTATGTGCTCTTTATAAAAATAGGAAAATAGTTGCTTCCATGTTTAAAAGGAAAACATTTTAAAATATATTTTGTTGGCAAAATCAGTCGCCAGAACTGGTTCATTCAACTGATAGTCGCTCATTGGTAGCCAGAAGCTTTGCTCCCTTGTTGGTCTAGTGGTCAGCTGTCCATCTACGTGATGACGGCAAGAAATCTGCAGCTGATAAAAACTAAAACCATGTAATAGTTCAGTGATTAAATTTGTACTATGGATCAGTGCTTATTATTCTTAAGCTTTTGGTATTTAATTCATTACAGCAAATATTCTCTTACAATAAAAACTATTTCACATTCAGCAGAATTTCAAAAACAGCCAAGAGTAAATGTTCTGATTTATGTATATAGGTATACTATGTATTACAGATTATTTTAGTTTTTTATTTTTTTAGAGATGGGGTCTCACTCTGTTGCCCAGGCTGGAGTACAGTGGTGTATGAAAATAGCTCACTATAACTTCAAATTCCTGGGCTCAAGTGATCCTCTTGCCTCAGCCTCCTGAGAAGCTGGGACTACAGATGCACCATCACACCCAGCTAACTTTTTCATTTTTTTGTAGAGAGGTAGCCTCACTATGTTGCCCAGGCTGGTCTCAAACTCCTGGCTTTGAGAAATCCTCCAAACCCAGCCTCCCAAAATGGTGAGATGACAAGTGTGAGCCGTGTCCAGCCAAGATATTTTAAAATGAAAACTAAATTATATCAGTTTCTAAAGTATATTAAGGGAGAATTTTTTAAAAATGTGATTCAGTCTTGAAAGTGGGGTTAATCCCTGAATCAGTGTTTCTTAAACTTGGTTTTACCTTGAAGTCACCAGAGGGGACTTAAAAGATACTGTTACCTGGATCCACCTCCAGAGATTGGGATTTAATTGGTCCGGGTGTGGATTTTAACAGCTCTCTGGGTGACAACTGTTTAGCAAGGTTCGAGAACCACTACTCTATCTGTCTCACTTTAGTAACACGTTTTTTTCTAAGATCATTTATAGATTATAAATAGAAATAATTCAATGGAAATTCCAATTAGAATCTGAATTGCTAGCTATTTTCTCTGGAACTGAAATTCATGTGTTTGAATAAATACCCAAGAATTACTCCTTCCTTCCTCCAGCTAAGAAAAACCAAAAACAAATACATAAACAGTGGGATGGGACTTGACTTACCAGATAGTAAAACATACTAAAAGCCACTGTGCTAGAATCAAAATGGTATTGGATGGAATAGACAAGTCAGTAGAACAAAGCAGAGATCCCAGAAAGATCCCAGGACATATGCAGTTGCTAGTAGCAAGGTATATGGTTCAATTCGGTGTAAAAGGGAGGAATTATTTCATAAATTCTGCTGGAATAAATAAATGTCCATAAGGCAGAAAACAAAAATGGGTCACTATCTAACATACACTAAAAATATGTAAATTTAGGAGGATGAGAAACAAACAACAAAAAATCTTGGAAGAAAATCTGTGAGACTATGTGTAGGACCTAGGGAGTTGTGAAACTTTCCTAATGAAGATTGGAAACCTAGAAGCTATAAGAGAAAATATAGACGTAATTGACAACATAAAAATTTAATATTTTCATGCTAAAATACTATAAGCAAAGTTATATATAACAGTTAGACCTGAAAAACATTTGGAACACTGTCAAAATATAATTTTCCAAAAGCTGAAAATATGACCCATAGAAACATCAAGTAAACATGTATCAGAGATTTAGCCAACTCACTGACTAGCGAGGGAACCAGTAAAGTAGTAAAGTGGGTACAAAGGAGATCGTGAGGACCGCTGTTTAGGGAAGAGCAAAAGTTGCTCAGGAGAAGGACAGTCCGAGAGTGTGGACATGTCCTGTTCAGGCCTAGCACAGGGCCTGGAAGACAGCTGGCGTAAAATAACTCCTATTGAATTAAATCTTATTAGACTCCTTTGCTAATGCAGAGAAGTAGAAAAGTGGAGAATTTCATACACACACACACACACACACACACACACACACACTCCACAGGGATAGGTTTGCCCAATTATAATAATATTTATATCGAAAGATAAAATACATGTCATAGATTAAGTTTTAGCAGGCAGGCTAATTTATACAATTCCAGATTGATAAAAAGCCTTTGGAAATCTTTGCAAAATCTATCTCTAATTAGATAGAAGCACCACGCTCAGGCCTCTCAATGTGCTCTTTTGTTTTATTTATAGGGAAATGTGTCCTTCTCATGTCCACAGCCACAGACTGTCCCTGTGACTTTTCTGAGCTCCAGGAGTTTTCTGGCCCTGCCGGGCAACTCCGGGGATGACAAAGTGTTTGTCACTTTTCAATTTCGAACATGGAACAGAGCAGGACGTTTGCTTTCTGGCGAACTTCGACGTGGTGCAGAGAGTTTTGTTCTCTTTCTTCAGGATGGAAAACTGAAACTGAGTCTCTCCCAGCTGGGACAGTCATGGAGGAACGTCACAGCAGGTAATGGAGGTCCTCCAGTACACCTCACAAACATAGAGCAGACACATCATTCGGTAGTAAGTTAATGAAGTGACAAGATACTGGATGCCCCACCTGGAGGAGGGGGTTGCCCTCTCCTTCCAGACTGTGTTCATGTGTGGGACATGCGGCCATCACCGAAGTCTTCTTTGGACCAAAATGACCACATATGAGAAATAAGAAACGGACGCTAATGCAGACAGACCCCCCCCCCCCCCGCCGTATGCCAGGAAAATACGTAATAGCCTTAAGCCCCATTCCTGACAAACACACACCCATCCTCCATCCAAAGAACTACAGTCGGGACTCGTGCGGCAGGCAGCACCCAGAGGCACTCACTTTTCTCCCTTCCCTCCCCTCCTCTCCTGTTCTGTTCTGTGAAGAAATATTCTATACACAGTAGGCGATTGATAACTATTGGCTTGCTGTGAAAGATGCCAGCAAATGCCACAAATTCTTGTGCTTTTGCTGGTGGCTGATTAGTTTTCTGAGACAGCCTGACGCCAGGGAGGAATCGCAGCTCCTCCACTTGCTGCCCTTCTGATAGGCAAATCATTGAGCTTCCCAAACCCAGCCTGTTTTCACTTGTGAAATGGTAAACCTTAGTTCTTTGCAGGGAACAAGAGGAAGGAAGTCTGATTTTATTAGCACAATGGCCACCCCTACACAGGCCCTCTCTTGTCCCCACTCCTCATCTAGGGCCTGTTTCTGTTGGGCAAAGGCTTTGATATGCCTGCCAGCTTAGAGGCTCAAATCTCATGAGGCAAGACCCAGTAACAATAGATGGTAACTGATCTGCTTCTGTTGTGCAGTGTGGTGTGGGCAAGTTTGATCACACAGAGCTGTCGGATTTTGCTGATTGGATTTGCAAATTTAGGAGGAGATCTGAGTCCTACATCAACATCATGTCGAAATTGGCATCAGAACCAAATGAGGGCTTTTTTTTTTAAAGATAGAGGAGTCTAAGAAAGAAGACACTAAAAAAGAGCCACATGTCTCCCTTAAACCAGGGGATTATCCTACTGTAAGAGAGATTCCTTCTGGCTACTTGGATGCACACTTGACCAGACTGCTGTTACACGTTGCTGTGTGAAAGCAGGATTTCAGAGGGTGGGGGCTTATCTCAGGACTTCTGGCAAACTCCACATGTTGGAATCTGTGTCCACCTCTGATCCAAAGTAAACTGTAAACTGTGTGAGATAAAACAGATATTCGCAAGGATATAGATATATTTTTTTATCTTTTCAAAATGCAAACCTATTTTCCATTTCCTCACAAATAGGGCTTTTTTTCCAAGAAAGTGTAAAATCATGACCAACACACATATACAAAATGAACATATGTCAAAGATTTTATTTACTCATTAATTAATGAGGAACCAGTACTGGGAAAATAATTAAAGATAAAATTGCCTACCAGCCTAGTGAATCCCTTTCACAAGGTAGAAAATAATTAAATAGTTTATTACTGAGTAAGTATTAAACCAGAGTGTGACACACATTTCCGGCAGTCACTAATGTGATTGCAAAGACAGAAAGAAATCTCATCCTTTTATCTAGCCAGGCTGATACAACCCATTACATACATGTTTTCAAGGTAGAGGATAAATTGTCCTCAAGTAAGAGGACGTGACAGCACGGTTTGCTACACATAGTCCATCCCAAATCACCTATTAATTGGGGACAACATCTGTATTAGCTCATTGCCTTAATCCAAAGGGAAACTAAAACTCCTTACATCTCTTTGACAAGCAGATAGTTGGATTTGCAAATCCAACTTGGAACCATGCACCTAAATTCAACCCCCACAAAACTGGGGAGCTAGGGGCAGTATCTGTCTTGATGTTTACATTTCAAAGAAATGTTTTCAAGGCCCTCAAGAAAAACATTCTTGGGTTGTAAAACTAGAAGAAGGCTAAATAAATTTTTTAAAAGACTTTTAAAGATTTTTTAAACAGATTTGTTTCAAGTTATTTTAAAACTAAGTAAGTTTTTTAAAAAGATTTATGTACACTTCAAAGAGGCAGAAAAAATTTACATTTACAATTTCTAAAGGAAATGCTCTAAGAAAAGGAAGAGTAAGTGAAAGTCTGTATCCTTTTTGGCACCAAGGAAGATTTCGTTTGATCAATTAGCTTTTTTTTTTTTTTTTTTTAGCTTTACGTTTGCCATTACATCAGTAAAGCCAATTTAAAGAATCCTAAACACCACACATTTATGATCAGAGAAGGAATGCTGAAATGAAATTACAAATAGATACAAATCTTGTCAATATCCACAGGGAAAGTAAATAAATCCCTTCCCTGGACAGAATTTGCATCTCTATGGACAAGTATTATTTGCATTACTATCAATTTTGTGCAAGTTAACTTCTATCACTACACAACTGTAAAGTAACCTAGTCAAAGATGAAGGTTTACAACCCTATAAAATGAGTTAATCCTTTCATCAAAAAGATATCCAGTAATCTCTTTTGCCCAATTCAAAAACTACCCTCAATTTTTTCCTACAATAGTTGGTTCAGCTTCACTGCTAATAAGTTGCACATATTCTAGATGCAATGAAATGCTGAACGAACATTTTCTCCAGTTCTGGGTTTCACAATCACCAGAATTAAATATCATTAAAGTCCTTAAATCACATCAGGATTTTGCTTTAGCTCAGGGCTTTATGATAGTGATATTTTGCCTCTGCATTTAAAATGTAGTTTTTGACAAGAGATCATCTTCATTTTAAACATACTTAAAATACTATGTGTGTTGTAGGCAATTAATTAATGTAATCATTTCTCATTAAAATATTTATAGATGTCACTCTATCTGACTTTCTTGGAAATAAACTATGGCCAAAGGCCAAATACAAGCTGGCAAAAAACAAGAAGAAAAAATAATCGGATGATAAACATGAAAAAAAAGTATACAAAAATCTATTGTTATTTGTCAAAAGATATCCTAAAGAGGACACCATTAGGACTTAATACAATTATGAAAAGAACATGTCAAAGATTTTACTTAACTCATTAGTTAATGAGGGAATCAGTAAGATGCTACAGCAGGTTCAAAGGAGAATTCAAAGAGTCAAAGATATGTACAGGAAGCTACAATGAATTTGCATATAATGTAAAACTGGCTCCTTCCATGTCATGTGATGGGGAACAGGGAGAAGGCTCAACTCTATTGTAAAAATCCAATTTATTTGCATGTCTACGGACGATGATCGTTTGCTTGCTTTCGGTTTTCCACAATTTACAGAAGGGTAAAAGAACTCAAAGAAGGTGAAAGGCACAGAGACCTGTAGAATCAGATAGTCCTAGAGATCGTGTTTAGACAATGCCTATTTTTACACTGAAGACTTCCAGTAGTCCCGATTGATTTTAAAGTACAATTTTTTTCCTTATACATTATTATTACTTCTGTTTCTGTTTCATACATCACTGAAGGATAAAAGGAAAAGCTGAAATGTTAATATTAATTTTTAAGAAGTACTACATTTGAAATGCTAATAATAGATTAACGTCAGATAAATCTATGTCTGGAAAGGAAATAAATCAAGCACAGAGTTATTTTAATAATTAACAGGCTTCCTAAAACAGTCAACTTTATTAAAAAAACTTCTATTAATCTAGTGTTTATTATGATATATATGCCTCCTAACGTAGTTTTGATCATGGCCTAATTTTAAACATCAGTGCAATGTTAATTTAATAGGCCTCATAAAGCTAATCTCATTTTTAATCCATTTATTGGCATTTATCTTTGCCACATTACCAGGTGAAAGAAAACACAGAATAACTACAGTGATTTTAAATATGTTAACGTTTAAATTTACCATCAAAGACAATTCATTATGTTATCAAATTATTTCACAAGATTAACTTCATAGTTAATACTAAGAATCATAGAATAATGTAGCTATGAATGTAAATATATAAACAATGGTGTACTTATATATCAAATACACCTCCAATTCTTTCCTTAGCATTTTCTTGCTCAATACTAAATAACAATTTTTAGAAGAAGGTGTAATTATATCTATAATCATAATGTGTTCAATCAGAGAACACATAAATATATGTTAAAGATTTTAACTCGTTAATTAATGAAAAACCAATAAGATGTTACAGTCAGCTAAAGGAGGATTCAAAATATTAATACCACGCACACAGGCAGATAAGGAATGCTGAGATGAATTTACAGACAGATGTGAAATGGCTCCAATTGTACCCCAGCAGGCACACGTAATTTGCAATTCTATTGACAAAAATCATTTTGCATTGCTGTCAGTTCTCTACGGTTTACAGGGTTGTAAAATAGCTCAGACAGAGAAAGCAGAGTTTACCTGAATGGGTGCACTGGGCAGGACACTCAGTGATTTTTTTTCCCCCATTTCAAATCGTGTTGTACCCCACAAATATGTTCAACTATTATGTGTCAATTTAAAAAAAAAAAAAGCCTTTCACAATTATTCTTGACACAATTTTATCAACTCATTTCCCTGATTCTTTTAAAGTATTTTTGCTATTTTCAGTGAAACAGTACATTTTGCATTTGAAGATCGGATTAAACTGTGTTTTTTACCCCATTGGTAAAGACTTTTAACATATATATTTGGTAATTAAATTTGAGGTACTACATTAAGCACATTATCAGAATTTTTTGTTACAGTGACTCTTTAGAAAGAGTAAAATCTACCTTCATGTGTTATTGTCATAATAAATGAAATCCTTTCATTAAAGAAAGGTGGTTAACTTTTTTCTCAGTGACATATCAGCTTGTGAATACTGCTCTTTTCTGCTGTATTCAGTGATCTGAATTAAATTGTTTTCAAGTGTTTACAAAGTTGGTAATTTGGAGTTGTCTTTGGTTCTGTTCCCTCTAGGTGCTGCCTTAAACGATGGGCAGTGGCATTCTGTGTCCTTATCTGCTAAGTGGAGCCATGTGGGTGTGGCAGTGGATGATGACGCAGCTATTCAATCCCTGGTGGCTGTGCTGATCGATTCAGGTGACACGTATTATTTTGGAGGTAAGTGACGGCAACTGAACTATAAAACACTGGCAGTGGAACCATTTTTGTCTCTATTGCTTTGCATCCTGCGTCTCTAGTCACATTTCAACAAGTTAATGCTAAGAAATGATTTATCTCTTCCTATGAAATGAATACTTTTGAGTTTGTAAAGAACATGCAATGTTCAATTAATTGTTCTTTCCAAGAAAAAAATAAGTTATCTGCAGAAAGTTTACTTGCTTTTTACATAACCTTATATTTTCACTTAACATTAAATGAAAATTTATTTTACCTACACATAGTAAATAAGAAACAAGTAAAACCTTTCAAACATCAAATATTATGTCATCATACTACAAATAAATAAATTTATACTCCTAACAGTTAGCTTGTAAAAACAAAACAAATCATACTGTCCAAAGTCATTGGCTTACACAAAATATTACTTATGATGTATATTTAAGTTATACATCTCATTCCATACTATTGAATCATTATTAAACAGCTTAGTTTACAGATACATAGATAAATAGATATTTTTTAAATGGGAAGGGAGTAATAGAATGTAAAAAACTGACTATGAGGAATTTTCCAAACATTGGCAATAATAAACAAATATTAGTTAGCAGGAGACAAGCATATGAAATGAATCCATTGTGTAATTGGCGTCACATTGGCGCAAAGTACTGAATGTTTGTGTTTCCCCCCAAGTTCATGTTAAAACCCTAACCCCCTGAGGTGACAGTATGAGGAGGGTTTGGAGAGTAATCAAGTCATAAGGGTGGAGCTCTCATGAGTGGAATTAGTGCCCTCATAAAAGAGGCCCAACAGAACTCCCTTGCCACTCCTGCCATGTGAGGTTCCAACGAGAAGACCACAGCCAGGAAGCTGGCCCTTACCAGACACCACACCTACTGGTGCCCTGATCTTGGACTTGCCAGCCTCCAAACTGTGGGAATATCACTCAGTCCATGACATTTTGTTGTAGCAGCCCAAACTTAGACAACCGATATAGCTAAAAAAATGGAAACAAGTGAATTTTTTGATTGGAAAGGAAATTTGGCTTTTTTATTAAAGGAAGCACCAAAACCAATAACAAAACTCTGCCATCAATCCTAGAATGCTTCTGAGACATTATGTGAGTCCAAATATTAGGCCTACTCCTAGAAATCACAGTTAAGAGAAATAATCATGTGAGGAAACACGTCACATCAGGTCATAGACACTTGTACTTTAAAGCATTCTGCTATCACTCCATGTCACCACATGTATGATAAGAAAACTCATCTTGAGTAAGAAAGTTTTCAATTAAGTAGGAAATGCCATGATGAATATAGATGCAGACAGCCACTTTTCACTACTCATTTGGTAAATACCTAAACACTCAAGTTTCATCCCCATAATTCAATCATGTGTAATTCTTACTAGAAAGCTAAATATATCCCTCCTTTCCTATAGTGATTAAAAATTCCATATAAACAGAAATATAGATCTAGTAGAAATGCAATTTTATATATTGCATTCTGCCTCATCAGTATTTGCTGTGTCTCTCATGGAATATGTACATTTCCAAATATACAACTGCACATATTCAAGACATCACTGGGCTGTCCTTTGCCACATAGTGTATATTTATATTAGTAAAGTAAATTAGAATGGCCTGAAGAATCCCTGAGAAGACAAAGCCAGTTAGGCCTCATAAGTGACCTTAACCGTTTCTTGATTTACAAACATAAGTAAAATTTAACTGGGGCTATTTCTTGGAAATGTCTACATTCAAGAAAAATCAAACTTTATGCTAACCAATCAGAAGCCACTAACTTGTATAACTACGGACTTTCCAGCAGAATAGACCAAATAAGGCAACTGTGTAACTGTAACCAATCAAATACATATGTATGTAGAAATTTTTTTGCTTTACCTCTGTGTTTACCCTCTAGAAGCCTTCCCCTGCCGATCCCTTGAAGCAGCCCCCAAACAACTTCCCATTTGAAGCTGCCGAATTCTTGCATCACTATTAGTCAAAATGAATTCTTTAAATTTTATTTTGCCTCAATTTATCTTTTAATAATATGTACATTTATATCTCTAGTCAGATGTCTTTTTTCCTCTAGGCAGATACAAAGTACACTTGGAGAGCTTAAGATTTTTAAGATTGCAATAAGTAAATGTCTTAATTTATCTTGAATGGGTGATAATATAAGAGGTTCTCAAAAAAATGCAGCTATGCATGCCAACCTTTTCAAAACAGTACAGTTAGCTTTAGGAATAATAATATGTCCAAGGTTGTTAGTGATCTGAGAAATGCCACATGCAGATGATGTTGAATTAAGGGTTTCCAAGTAGAAAGACCAAGATACTCCTTGTGTTTGCTCTCAATTGACACAAATAATTATCTCTAAGAAAATTTTTCCAAACCAAGCACAAAAGAACAGCAAACAGAACAGGGATGTTCATTATTAGATTGATAACTAAAATCTGTACGACAGAAACAGATGATGGAGTTTGATCCACACTGTTTTGTTTTCACAATGACTAGCCGAGATGGAATAGGTCCAGAAAGAAACCACTGAGATAAACAACAGAAAATTTGAAACATTGTACTCTTTGAGAATGTATATTCATTTACATTCCCATTTCCTTCAGAAAATACTTCATGCTTCCTTCTCTAAAGACAAATGTATGAAAGCAAAAATCATTTCATGAAGGCATGGGTCATATTTTGTAGTAGGCAGAATGACTCCCAAAGATGCTCTAATCTCTGGAACCTGTGAATATGTTACATGGCATGAATGATTTTGCAGATGTAATTAAGGTTACAGACCTTAAAATAGGGAGGTTATCCAGAATCATCCACATGGGTCCAGTGTAATCACATGAACATTTGGCTCTGGTTTGAGGCATGGCACAGGGGAAGTCAGAGAGATGGAAGCAGGAGGGTGTCTCTGTGTACTGCTGCTGGCGTGGAAAGCAGACTGGACATGGTGAGGAGGACAGGCCCCAGCTGACAGCCAGTAAGAAACTGGAACCTCCTGCAACCACAAGGACCTGAATGCTGCCCATCCCCGAACGTGCTTGGAAGCCCATTCTGCCCCAGAGCCTCCATTTCAGAGCCCAGACTGGCCAACACCTTGATTTTGTCTTTGCAAGACTCTAAATAATCAGTCCAGCCCACACACACTCATAAAGTGAGAGATAATAAATGGATGTTGGTAGTAATTTGTTATAGCAACAATGAAAAATGGATACACATTCCTACCTCCATCTGAATTTTCATTTATATACATTGCATTCAGTTCAAAACACTTGGACAATGTCCAGAGGGAAAAGGTTTTCTCAAACACACCTGAGAATACGCTGAGAAATATATGCATAAGAGCAAGGAAGCTCAACAGAAAGTCAAAATGCCAGAAACAATTTCTGGTTTTTCAGGGTGTGTGTGTGCGTGCGTGTGTTCAGATTATATGTGGCATCGGAGCTAAAGTAACATACGTGATCGGGAACCAGTAGGAGACACAGTTACAGAAATGGCGAGGCTGGGCCGTGATCATGTGAACGTACACATCCTGTGGATTCCCAAGTCCCCTTTGATCCAAAAGCATGAGCAGGGCCATAACCTGTTAGAAACAGATACACAGCAACCGCAACCCAAACATGCATGTGCACAGGTAAAATTGTACTTGTTTCAGGGATGATGTTATGGATTGAATTACTCGCCCCCCCCCCCAGTTGATATATACCTCAGAATGTGATCCTCTTTGGAGCTGGGGTCTTTGCAGAGGTGATCAAGTTAAAATGAGGTCATTAAGGTGACCCCAATCCAGGAAGACTGGTGTCCTTATAGAAAGGGGAGATGTGGACACAGAGACAGATTCACTGAGGGGAGACACTGGGAACACGTGGAGAAAACTACATGAGATGGAGGACTGGAGTGTCACACCTACAAGGCCAGAGTGGCTCGCTGGCTCCCCCTTGACCCCAGCTTGCTGCTGTGTGGAGAAGGAGCTCGGCAGCCCTCCCCAGGCAGCTGATCCGGACTGAGGCTGCTGCTTTGCCATGAATCCCTTGATTTTTTTTTATTTTAAAATATTTCATTGACAAATAAAAATTATATATATTCAAGATATACAATGTGATTATTTGGTATAGGTATAATTGTGTACTGATTATTATAGTCAAATTAATCAGTACATCTATCACACCACACATAGTCACTATTTGTGTGTGGGGGAGGTAAGGACAATTAAAATTTGCTCTATTACCAAATTTAAGTGAATTATACGTATTATTAATTGTAGTCACAATGCTGGCTCCCTTTATTTTTAATGGGCATGTTGAGAAAGATTGTGAATTATGGACTAAAATGCACATCTCCTGGATAGGCTTAAATAAAATATCACATTTGGGGTCATGTTACGGAGCTTCCCTTCATCACCTTGCTCTACAGAATTGTCACAAAGCTGAAGAATTATTGTTACCTTTTCTTCTGTTTTATGAGCTGGTTTTATTGCACCACACGGGTGTTCCCCAGAGCGCTGGCTCTTCTAGACCATCTTAGTTATTTCCCACTGCCCAAAAGAAAGGACACGTTTTGCCCAAAGTGACTAATAGTCTAACTCAATCGGTCATTGCAACTTCTTTTCATTGCCAAGTGATAATGCAGCGAAACAGTTCACCAGGTTAGGGAGCGCATCAGGCTTTCACGGGCAATAGCGGAGTATTTCCCAGCTCAGTAACTGAGGACAACCAGGAGATGCTGCCGCCCAGGAGAGGGAGCTTGGAGGGGGCAGGTTAAGGAAGGGTGTGATAAATCTTCCCTGAGATGCTCATGGGGCAAGGCTTTGGTCACTAGAAATGTCATGTAACTCTGTCAGTAATAAGATATATTTGCTAACCAATGTCTGAGGTGCTTCCTCATGGTATGAGCATAGTTTTGCATTTTACTAGTTTCTTTGTAGAATCATTTTGAAATTATAACCGAAATAACATAATATGGATGGAAAATTCATCCCTAATAC